CATATAAAATTGGTTACACAAAGTTGATCTACAATCTATTTTATATGAAATTAGAGATTTGTACACCCTACCCTTAATTTTAAAAAAATTAATTTTTTTTATATTTGCATCTTTAACTCTAATTATCTTGAGATTCACCAAGCTGATTTTGATGATCTAACCACCATCAGAACCAGAAAAGTCTTCTCTACAACTTTACTTAGAAGCTCAACAAACTCCAACTTAATAAAAATTTCTTTAATTTTAAAAAATTGATTTCTTAAATTTAATTGATCATTAAAAATAGAATTTTTTATATCTTTTTGTGTAATCCATGGTGAAAATAACAAAAAACCATGGTGAAAATAGCAATTCCCTAAATATATAGCTTTATTATATCTTTATTATATATATACTTATAAATTTTTATCTTTCTAAATACAAAATGCAAGATTTTTTAAAATTTATATAGTGTTTGTATAAATTGATTTTTTTTGTAATCAAGGTTAGCCTATTTAGTTCACTGCTTTTATTAGATACTAGGATCATGTGGTGCTCTTTTCAAGGGGGGCCTCAGATAAGTACATTCTGACAAGAGTATAATCTAGCCATATCTGCACCTAATTAAGTATCTACCTATTACTAGATTCTACACTAGATGTTATACTTGTAACTTACTATTACTTGAGCTATCTAATTAAACCCTCTAATCTGAGTTTCCTATTCCAATCTATCTAACCTCATCTGGAACATGTGATATATTAGTCAGTCCAAGTTCTGAGATCATCGCAAGTTCACCTTTAGAACTACCAATATTTAATCGATTCATTCTCGAGTACATCATCTGTTAGAGCTGTCTGTCACCTACTTTAATATATGACCTAGTTTTTTTTCAGATAGATATTACCGGATAGGTTCTATACCTTTACAGGTAGGCCACATCGCTAATCTCTATCGCAGATAGGTAGCCAGATAGGTTTTAAACCTTTACAGACAGGCTACACCATCTAACTACCTGGCTTTTGCAAAGTTTACTCAAGCCCCAGTACCTTTCCTTCAAGACAACTCAGTACCTTTCTTTTCAGTACCCCTAGCTGGTCTCTCCAGACTACCAATCCAGATAGCCTTGAAAGAATATCAGTCTTTTTTCCAGTCGACCGGTAGCCTGATTGGTGGAGTAACTTGCTGATACTTTTGCCTTGTCCAGTTTTTCAGCCTCGGATAAAGCCTATTCTGATAAGCACCATCGAAAGCTTGTGCTACCTCTCTACTCAGGTCTTGCTAAGCAGGCTTCTTATAGCGCCATTTATCGGATTAACACGACCCGAAGAACTTATTATGAGTTTACACCACCTTACCAGTTTTGTATTCTCTTTATGCAACTCATATATTACACAAATACCCCAGATCTCCCTTAGATCAACCTAATAGTGCAATGGATATTCTTCCTATATAAGGTATGACCGATATTACAGGATCTTCTTCCTAATATACGAGAAAGTTGCCATTACATAAAAGAATTTAATTTTTCGCTGTCAGTAGGAATTGAACTTTAGATATGCCGCTTAGGGAGGTGACAACCCAACCACTTTATTAAGTCGCTACACCCTCATTTGTATGAATTGTATTTAGAAAGAGTTATAATAAATATATATCTTATATCATTAATAAATTATTATTTTATTAAGGATGTAATAACTTAGTGAAGTTGGTAAATTGTCGCATCCCAAATAGCAAGACAAGAGTTTAAATCCTATTGAAAATAAAATTTGAATTTTATAGAATATGTTGCAGCAAACTGTATATAATTTGATGAGTTGGCATCTATAACCTTGGTCGCATCAGCTCATACTGAAAGGCTGTAAAATATTAGTATGATGTATGAATTGCACAAAATACAAGTAAAGCAACTAGGTTAATCTAAAGAATTGAAACATACAGAAGCCCACTTGGCAAGATTCAAGTAGAAAGATAATACAAACTTTTGACAATACTATATAAAGAATTATCAACCAGGAAACTAAAAAACTAAATGGAACTGAGGTGTTTGACAAAAATATTATATTAACCAGGCTGTTAGATAACTGGAAAAAGAAATTACCCTTCTAAGCCATCTGGATTAGGAGTTTAGAAAAACCAGAAAAATGATAGATAGTCTGTATAGTGAGATTTAAATGAACTTTATAAGTATAGAAGTAGGTAATAGTAGCAGCTTTGGCTTACAAGTATATGTTTTTGGTCTCAGCATAAGTTATCAAAGTCTAGATTAGCTGGATTGTAAGTATGAAAAGCTTTAATAATAATGCCTTGAAGATAAATTAATTCTAATGAAATAGAAAAAGCATCCAGGACTTCTTGATTAACAAATAAAATAGAGATGCACTGGTAATACAAATAGTTTATGTTACAGAGAGTTTAAATAGATAATTATCTAATTGGGTTATAGATATAACAAATAGTATAGTCTCTATAGTATAATACTAATACAAAGATTACTTAAATAAGCAACTAAAAGTTATATGTATAGCTAGTTATACTCTCTAATATAAGAGAAGGCCCCATTGTGAGTCTCTCTACCCAATATTTGAATAAAAAATCTTAGCCCTAAAGAGGCTAGTTAACAAAAAAAATAAATAAATAAATTATTATTTTATTTAAAAAATTCTAAATATAATTTTTTAATTTTCTAAACAAATTTGCCTAGAATACAGTTTAAGTAATATATAACAAATTGTATGTTTATTAATATAGCAAATTAAATATAATACTTGTAACTGCATTGGTATTTGAACTGATGTTTAATAAATATACCAAACCTCTAAAAGATTACCTTAAAATTTAAAAAAAAATTTAAAATAATATAAATTTGTTTGACAATTATAAATTTTTTTTTTTTTTTTTTTAATCTTCAAAGGTGAGGCCATGCCTCTATCTTTATTAAAATCCAATTAAACTTCTTTACAAATAAAAATAAAACAATTATAAATTTTAAAGTAATCAATAATAAATAATATAAAATAATACAATTTAATATCTTGATTTTCATAATATAAAACTTTTAAACAGACCTGGCTGGCTGACTTTTTTTTTTAAATTTCATATTAAAAATTTTTTAAAAATCCCACCTGGTTATTAAAACATATAAAAAAAATTTTTTATAAGTTTTCAAATTTGATCCGGCCGGGTTATGAAAACAATTAATTAATTTTGCATGGCCTAAATTAGAAAAATTTTATTTACATAGAATTTCTCTAATTTATATTGTTGATTGCCTTAGAACAAATCATTTGGTTATTTGATTTAAAAAGATGAATATCCGAATATAGCATGTCGGAAAAATGAATCCGGATTGAAAACTATTATAGACCAGTTTTGGCTTATATCAAAAGTTAATTAGTCTTTCTTATATCAAAGGTTTCTTATATCAAGAGTCACCTGTATATATATTTATTTAACTCTAAATACTAACCCTAATTTCTAAATTGAAAATTAGACTTATTCGATTTTTTTTACATCAACCAAAAAAATACATTCATTAGAACATAAGTATTTCCGATTTGATCAAAGTTAAATCGACTAACACTAAATGTTAGTTAAATTTGCTTTTCTTATGTCGGATTGGCTAAATCCTTATATGAAAATTTTATCTCTATATTTAACGTATAACTAAAAGAATTTAGATACAATTTCTGATATTGTAAATATACAAGTGTTTTCGAAAATCATAGAAAGATACAATGCACGAATAATTTTGAGTCGGAAATTTTCTCGTATTCGTAAAATTTTATTCATTTAAAATATTAACAAATTCATATACTTTCACATGAGAATTCTATCCATTTGAAATGTTTACAACGGTATCAAATTGAATAAATTTTATTAAACACTATAGTCCATATTTATTCGTATATCTGGAATTTTTGTATATTATTCACTCCATTAACGGAGTTAAATAAATTGGCCTAATAATATTTATGTTAATGTAAATAAACGAATGTGTACACGATATACTATCAATAGAAACAAAACAATACTTACATTACCTTATGTCTAATAAAATTAAAGAAATTTTATCGCTTTTCTTTTGAATTGTATTCTTTAAGCAGTTCCACGTATAGATCTGCCAACTTTTTACAATTCTTATAATGATTAACACCCTCAGTTTTGTAACATTTTATTAGCTGATTCCGAACCAACCGAATTTCCATTACTTTAATCCAATATTCTCGAACTTGTTGATCTTTTGCTGCTTTCACAGCTATACAAATTATAAAATTATAAGGATTAATTGAGTACGCTTAATTATTATGCTATTATAAAAATATAAAGATAAATAAAGACGATTAATGAATTGGTTGAATTGATAATTTTTTTTGAATAGCTTGTTTAATATATTCGGTGTAGCTGTAAGGGATTATCGGTTGTAATTAAAAATATCTGTATATGCTATGAGTATAGTCTGAATTATACTGGTAGTCTTAAGTACAACCTTAATATGAATACAATTCTGGCTTACAAACGTGAGGGTATATTAAATATGGCCACACGAATAGTCTGAACCAATGTTGCAGGGTCGGTAAGCAACTTGCTACCTACCTAAAAGTTAAGAGATATAAAAGCTGGCATTCGTACCTTCCACGTCTGACTTATCTACTTCTTCCAAGGTAGGAACCTTTGGAAACTCTTTGTGAGTATATTCCCAGCTTGCCATGATTTGCTAAATGGACTATAGTTGGGTTCACAAAAAAAAACTTATAGCAATAGCGATTTCATCGAAGATTGATTTTTAGAGGCTGAATAATCAGCAGCATTATACTCATTTTAGGAAGCAATCACACGTTTCACGTGTTTTTACTGATTTTATTTAATATTACTATCGAATTATCGTTATTGGCACTGGATAATTTATTTTTTGCCTTTTAATTCATATTTCCTTAATTCTTCTTTACTCTTATTTAATTCATTCATCAATTTAGCATATTTTTCTTAAAAGAAAGATTAAAAATTAACGCTCGATATGAATCTATTAGTTCAGAGCTATAATGTAAATTTATAAAATTTATACCTTTTTTATTGGCTTTTAATACACTTTTATTATCCGCTAAGAAGAATATGTTGGCATTGGTTTTTTGATGATAAATCGTCTTACGTGACAAATAAAGAATAAATATGCATATTAGCGTTAGGACATTAGGTCTATTTAGCCAATATTTAGGCTACAAGAATTAAATTTATTTACAGCGTTAGGTCTTAAACTCGATAACTCCGTGTTTAGCACATCGATTTCTTGAATCTAAGTTAATTTTTGTTAAAAAAATATTTCTCAAGATACGAAGTGATAAATGAAAAAAATACCTCTTTTTCAAGCTGAGCAAGTTTATCTTTTAAAATCAGGATTTCTATATTGGACATATTCATGAAATTTTTAAAAAATAAAAATTTTAATTTTTATGCTTGCAATACATATATTTATTTCAATGTGCAGCTGACTTGTATAACATTCTTCTGATTGGCTATTTACGATTTTCTAATGATATATGTCGGACATCAATAATTAATTTGCCAAGGTAATCGAATATTTGCAGTATTTACTAAAAAAAAATTATCTGCCACTTTCAACAATTTTGAAAACCATATTATTATTCAAAAATCTAAAGAAATCATGCAGTTATAAGATTATTATTTTTTTTTTTTAATTTTAAAAGGTGAGGCCATGAGTTATAAGATTATTAATGCTTATTGAATATTAAAACACAATACTTTTTGCTGATCTGTATTTTCAAAAACTGCTAAAACAAAAATATAGCAATAACACAAAAATGGTATAGTAAATTTATTTTGCTCTTTTAAGAAAAAAGTATTAGTATACAAAATTATCTATTTTTATTAGAATATTAATCTTAAAAAAAAGCAAAGTAGGAGATATAACTTGATTTTTTGATTCTGAAAACTGACAAACAAAACACAATTTACAAAACAGCAACAAACAACAAACAAACAAATCAAATATTTTGATTTAGAAAATATATGATATGTAAACAAGATTACAACAATACAATTAACTTATACATTAGATAAACAAAAAATTAACAATAAAAGTTTTTTTTATATTAAGATGAGATCATGCTTTTGGTTTTTATTAACACTTATTTTGAAAAGTTCTTTACATATATGTTAATACAGAACTATAGAAACTTAGACTAATTTATCTATAACCTAAATCTATTAAAATAGTCTATATTCTATATATATATTATCTAGCTTTATACTTCTTAACTAACTATTTCTAGTAATTACTATATTCTTTCTATATCTTATAACTATTAGTCATAACTTCTAATTTGGTATGTCAGGTGTTTACTTTTAATAAGCTTCTAATTTAGTATGTTTGCAAACATGATTTAATATATTAGTACAACTATAGTTAGTACAGATAACCTTTTTATAGCCAGAAAAGAAAAAGAAACAAAGCAGAAAAAGAAGAAATCAAAAAGTGTATTGAAACAAAATATGAAATGATCATTACTGACCAAAGAAGAATGATTAATAGTCTGCTTGAAAAACTACAAAGAAGCATCAAAATTGACAGAATACTCAAAGAGGAGAATAGCAAAGAAAAATTTTTCACAGAAGAAGCAGAGTTTCTGGAAGAAGTCAAGTTCTACTTCACCAAACAATTTTGTGAAAGAAATATAGACTTGAAGAAGTTGGTTAAGAAGTGAAGAAATATATATAAACTAATAGAAGAGATCAAGTCAGAATAGTACTAAGAACTCGACCAAGAAGTCTTAGAAGAAGAATAGAAAGAAGCTCTAAGACAGATCAAGAACAAATTAGTACCAAGATCTACAGGCATAATGTATCCACTGATCAGACAAGCAGAAAAAAAGGCCAAAGAGATATTTAGAGACTTTGCAAGTAGATATATTGCAGAAAGATATATACTAAAGAAATAAAAACTAGACATGTTATATCCAATACCTAAAAGAGAAGACTGATGCTATAATTTAAATAATGTGAGCCCGATTTTGCTGCTAAAAACTTTTTAAAAAACAGTAGTTAGAGTGCTAAATAACAGATTAAGTTGAGTACTACAAGAAAAAGAAGTTCTAAAAGGGAGAAACTTCACAGGGCTCCTAGAAGAAAGAATATTGGCCCTAATTCATTTAATTAATAGCTTACTTAAAGATGCAAGAGAACAAAAAAAAGAGATATAGTTACTTTTTCAAGACATGAAAAAGGCTTTTAATTCTATTAGCATCAAGATGCTTAAAATAGCTTTAAAAAAGATAAAACTACTATAGACTACAAAGAAGTTTATTCTCTAACTATATCATAGAAGAGAAATGAGTATAATTACAATGGTAGAAATAACAGAAAAGTTTGTAGCAAAGATGATATAGATTAAGAAAAAGTCATATTACCCTTGGTATGAAGAATCTTTTATAATCCACTATTAGTAGCAATACAAGAAAGAAAAAATCAGGGCATAGAATGGTAGTTGAATAGTCAGAAGATATAACAAGAAACAGAATACAGCAACAAAGCCTCAAAGTTGAAGTAATAGCTTATACAAATGATACTATATATATAGTAAGCTCAAAAAAAGACTTTGAGAAAACTCTAAAAATTGCTGAAGAGTTCTATAAGATAAATGATATAGAGATTAATCTAAAGAAATCAGAGCTTCTAGTAATTGCATTAAAGAAAAAAATTAAAGTAGAAGATAGAAAAGTTAACTTCAGGCCAAATAAGGAGGTAGTAGCAGTGAAAGAAGGAAATGACTCTACAAGATTTCTAAGCATATGGCTAGCAGCAAAGAATAGACTCAATTAAATAAAGTACATTATTAGAAAAGAAGTAAATATGATGACAAGATGCATCAGCAAAAAGAAGGCATCTCTAGTACACATGATATATATAAACAATATGGTTCTGCTACCAAGAATAGAATTTAAAACACAATTAAAAATTCTATCAAAGACAAGATGTAATCAATTACAAAGCTCTATGATGAAAATATTAAAAAACAAAGTTAGAATACTGATAACAACTTCAAATTCTATAATAAACTACAAAAGGATTGTAGGAGCATAGTCAATCTGGTAAAGACAGATTGTATATCACTTTACAGAAATATTTGCAAGGCTAAATAATAAGCAAGAAGTAGAAGAAGCTATATAGCTTAAATTCAGAAAAGTATAATTGAATTTAAAAAGCTGCAGATGTATATTAAAACTAGAGGAAAAAGAACTAAACAAAGCCAAATCATAGAACAATTTAAACTTTCAGATCATGAAAGAGGCTAAAAAGTTAGAAATCTCATTCAGATTTAAAAAAATTGAAAAAACACTAAAAATAGCAAAAAAAGTGCTGAAATTGCAAACATATTAGAAAAAAAAGAAAAACAGAAGTTTCTATAAACAAGAATAACTGCAATATTTTTGTAATAGAACAATTAATAGACCGAAGCTATTAAAAAATAACAACATAAGAACAATTTAAGAAATGTAGAGGAGCCAAAGCAAGAGGCAAGAAAGCAAAATAATTTTAAAAGCTAGAGAAAAAAGTAATCGAAAACAAAAACACAAAAACAATTAAAAGAAGATATCAGAAAGACTATTTAAACAGCTCAAGCATAAGAGCAATGCTAAGTGAAGTAAAGACAGACAGAAAGTGCAAAGAATGGATTCTTATAGAAGAAGATAAAAGCAAGATAGACTTTAGAAGAATAATCGATAAATATGATAAAGTGAAGAAGACGTACAATATAGAACACTGGGTAAAGGCAAAAATGAATAAAGTGACAAATATAAAACACAATAGTGCAAAGGATGTAGCAGAAATAAAAATAAGGTACAAAATAACAGATGCATATTTGCAAGAAGATTCCAAAGCAATAGAAGGATGCTGAGAAAAGATTAATTAAGAAAATAACAGATGGCAGCGAAGTATATGAAGTAGATCTTAAGCTAAAGATACTAAGCTGAAAAGAAGGAATAAGAAAAGAAGAAACAGAAGACTATGAAGGCCAAAAAATAGAAGATAAAATTATCATAGAAACACTCACAGAAGAAATAATCAAGAATCAAGTAGAAGAAGGAGAAGTGCAAAAGAAACTGCTAGTAGTAGTATAGGACTCCGAGCTATATATAAATAGATCACAATTTTGCTTAGGTAAATCTTTTTTATATTTAGTAATATTAATGCTTATTTTTAACTATTTTTCTATAAATCTTTTCTGTTTTTAGTAATATATTAAAGATTTTTTAAAAATCTTAACTGTTTATAGATTGCTTGGGGTCCTAGTAGTATAAGAACTACAGAATATTAAGAAAATAGATTTCTATACAAACGGATCACTATATGGGGGGGAGTCAGTAGAAATGGGACAAATTTTTTCTAAGTAAAAGTTTTCTTAACTTGAAATTTAAATATCTTGTCAACTATCTTATTAAATCTAATAAATTTTTTTTTTATTTTAATTTCAGGGAATTCTAGAA